TTTCTGTGTCCTATGAGTCCTGTTGCCTGGGATGCGTCCCCCTCTCCCTTCCAATGGTGGGCTCTGGGTCTTCGGTTTAAAGGTCCCCTTGCTGACAAGGTCTACCTTGCTGGCGGCCTGCCTGAAGCCCCTCTGGAAATTTCCCAGGCTTGTGAGCTTCATGAAGTCCAGGACCTCTGCTTTGTTCACTGCTGTGTCCTCTGGGGCCTGGAACAGTGTTAGGAACACATCGTCTCTCATGAACTGTTTTGCCGAGTAATTGAATGAGCGGTTCATGTCATGTCCTGATGTGTGTCTGTCCTAGAACATAGCATTTTTGTCGTTAGCTTGACTGCTTCCTGGTGTGTGGTCAGATTCCCTTACGAGCCATCAGCTTGGGGAGGATGGAGAGTACCTCTGTCTCATTCACCTTCCAGCAGCCAAGGGCAGGCCTGGCGTGTGGTTAAAAGGAAGTGAGTTTTGGGGCCCGATGACCAGGATTCAAATCCCAGGTCTCCTGCTCACCTGCTAAGCCTCTCTATGCCTCAGTTTCCACATATGCACAAAGGGACAATAATAGCCTCTAAGTGTTAATATTGGTTAAAATGTTTAGGAGAGGGCCCGGGTGAGAATGTACCTTGTAAATGTCAGTGTTGTTAGTGCTGGGAAAATGTTTGGGATTTCAAGCTTGGGGGAATCTGTACGTAGAATGCAGATTTTCTCTCTGAGTGGCAAAATCCTTGCTAAGGACAGGTGGAGATGATCGGAGAGGCCCAGGAGATCTTAGAACCAGGCTGCTGAAGAAACCCGACCCCTCCTTCCCCTCTCTGTTCTCTTGGAAAAGGCCAGTTGCTAGCATGCCTAGCATTTCTGCTCTTCACAGCTTTCCACCTTTCTTTCTCTGCATTGGCCCTATTTTTTTTTTTTCCCCACAGCACGGCTTGGAATCTCGCGGGCTAACTTGCAGCTGGGGTGTGGGAGCCAGCGCTTCCATTTAGAGAAGCAGCCGGTCCTGGAATGCCGTGGCGGGGCTGCCAGGCTTGCTCCTGGGCCGAGCCAGCCAGGAATGCACTTTGCAGCTTACACAAGGCCGGGCCTTGGGTCCATGGAATTTCTCCTTGCCAAGGTTGGGTTTGCGGTACTGGTGGACAAGAGTGAGGGTGTGAGGACGGAGTGCAGAGTGACAGGGAGAGGTATCTTCTATCCACTGATTTACTTCCCCAGTGCTTGCAACAGCCAGGACTGGGCCAGGCCAAAGCCGGGCGCCTGGAACTCCATCCGGGTATCCATGGGGGTGACAGGGACTCCAGTACTTGAGCCTCAGTGTGTGCATCAGCAGGAAGCTGGATCACAAGTGGAGGTGGGACTCATCCCAGGCCCCCAGTGTGAGATATGGGGGTCTCAAGTAGCAGCTGCAACTCCACTTTTCACTTTTTTTTTTTTTTAATATTTATTTATTTGAGAGAGAGGTCTTCTGTCCACTGGTTCACTCCCCAGATGGCTGCAACGGCCAGAACTGGGCCGATCCGTGGTGCAGGGGCCCAAGGACTTGGGCCATCTTCTGCTGCTTTCCCAGGCCGTAGCAGAGAGCTGGATTGGAAGTGGAGCAGCCGGGACTGGAACCCCACTTTCACTTCAGCGCCGCCACTCTGGCCGCAGTCTGGGGGCTGGGTTATCGAGGGCTGGGCCAGGGCCCAGTGAGCAGGCGCTGGGGGCATCTGTTTGCATGAGGCTGGTGTGAGGAGGGAGGGGTGAAGTCAGGATGAGGCAGCAGAGGGCAGGCTTCATGTTCCCCGGGCCCCATGCACAGAACACAGTACCCGGATGTGTGGCCGGGAGACCTCACGTAAGAGCAGCTTTGGGGGGACCTGGGGCTGTTCCCTGGGCTATCTTGGAGGTGGAGTGATTTCTCAGGATGAGACTGGCAGAGCCCAGGCGAGTGAGGGGTGGGGAGCGCCAGGCAGGGTTGTTTGGCCTCCACATCTAAGTTAGTGCTGAATTTCAGTCTTCAAGGAGTTCACAGACGCAGCTGGGTTTCCAGCTTTTCCTGAGACATTAGGGTCTCTGGCGGTGCTCGTGGGCCCGCCTTCCTGCCCAGGAACTGTCTGCGGAGCTGAGACGTGGCCACCACCTCTGCACTCACCGGAGTGCTCACCAGGCCTCTGTGACTTTCCTGCCTGGTTGTGAGGGCATCTGAGCTGGCCCTGCCTCCCCTGTGGGAGGCCCAGGCAGTGAGGGGAGAAGACTCAGAAAGGCAGGTGCAGGTGCAGGTGGTCCCCTGGGAGCCAGAGAGGCAGGGATGCCCCGTCCAGCAAGATCAGCGTGGCAGGTGCACAGACGTGGACAGGTAGGAGACGACCAGGTGTGCAGCAGGCTGCTTGCTTCCCTGAAGAGAGGGCTGCATGGGGTTGCTAATGCCGGAGGGCTGGAGAGACAGGTTTTATGAGGAAGGAGGTCTGGGAGAAAGGGAGGGGGCGGAGTGGGCGGCAGCTCCTAGAGCAGCTGAAGATTTAGGGTCCAGAGGGCGGGTGAAGGCCACGGGGCCTGGGAGACCCAGGCTGCTCCGTGAAGGGGACCCGTGATGTCCGGGCTGGCTGCCTGCTGGCTGTGTCCCTGGGAGTGCTGGCCAGGGAACGCCCTGGAATGGAGCCAGGCCTTCCCTGGTGTTGCTGGTCACTCCGCCCCTCCCCACCCCTCCCCCGTCTGCCGAGCACCTGCTCTCCCGCTGCAGGGTCCCCGGTTTTAGTAACCCCAGATGTCTGCAAAGCAGCATTCCTCGGGTGTCTCCTTAAGGCCTTTGCTGAAATGTCAGCCTGTTTGTGGGGCCTTCCTGGCACCCCATTTAAAGATCACATACCCTACCCCAGGGGTGGGCGTTTGGCCTCCTGGTTCAGTTGCCCACTTTAGACATCAGAGCGCCTGGATTCAAGAACTGGCCCTGGCTCCTGACTCGAGCAATTTGCTAACGCAGACCCTGGGAGGCTCATGTAGTTTGGTTTCTGCCACCCTCCAGCCACTCCCGTGGGAGACCTGGATTGGGTTTCCGGCTCCTGGCCCCAGTCCTCGCCACTCCTCACTGGGGGAGTGAACTGGTGGGTAGGAGCGCTCACTCTCTCAAGTGAAAAAATAAAAAGTTAAAGCCACTGCACACTCTGTGCATGTTTTTTTTTTTTTAAATAAAGATTTACTTGAAAGTAAAGAGTTACACAGAGAAGGAAAGGCAGAGAGAGAGAGAGAGAGATTGTCTTCCATCCACTGGTTCACTTCCCAGCTGGCCGCAATGGCCGGAGCTGTGCTGATCGGCAACCAGGAGCCAGGAGCTTCTTCTGGGTCTCCCACACAGGTGCAGGGGCCCAAGCACTTGGGCCATCTTCCACTGCCTTCCCAGGCCATAGCAGGGAGCTGGATTGGAAGCAGAGCAGCTGGAACTCAAACCAGTGTCCATATGGGATGCCGGCACTGCAGGCAGTGGCCTTACCCGCTAGGCCACAGCACCGGCCCCTCGGCCCCTCGTGTGTGTGTGTATGTATGTGTGTGTGTGTGTGTGTGTGTTTTGACAAGCAGAGTGGACAGTGAGAGAGAGAGACAGAGAGAAAGGTCTTTCTTTGCCGTTGGTTCACCCTCCAATGGCCGCCGTGGCCGGTGCACTGTGGCCAGCGCACTGCGGCCGGCGCATCGTGCTGATCCGAAGCCAGGAGCCAGGTGCAGGTGGTCTCCTGTGCAGGTGCAGGGACTAGGACTTGGGCCATCCTCCACTGCACTCCTGGGCCACAGCAGAGAGCTGGCCTGGAAGAAGGGCAACCGGGACAGAATCCGGCGCCCCGACCGGGACTAGAACCCGGTGTGCCGGCGCCGCAAGATGGAGGATTAGCCTAGTGAGCCGCAGTGCCGGCCTCCCTCTTGAGTGTTTTTAATCAGCCTCACCTACCTCCGAAGCACTTGTTCACACCTGACGTGGTGTGCAGCTGCCATTGGCGGAGTGTCCGGCGTGTGGGCCCCTGAGGGCAGGGACGCGCGTGCGCTGTGGACTGGCCAGGCGCCAGGCATCATTGTGGGCACTGACAGCCGAGAGCGGAGGCACCTGGTGGTGACTGCCGCAGGCTGTTTGTCATTCTGTGTGTCTGGGCCAGGAAAGATGCATTTGTTTTTTCTTTTGAAGAATATAGGACTTGGTCCACAGAGAGCAAAAAGGATTTTCCTTCAGGTTGAGAGCAGATCACAGATAAAGGGGCTTAGATTACCTTTCTCGGTCTGAATACGAGAGCGCTTCAGAAAGTGTGGGAAAATGGAAGTAGCGGTAGGTCTGGGGTGAGCGTGGTGCCGTGGCTGAGGTGCCGGCTGAGACGTCCACATCCCGCGTGGACGTCGCGGTGAGTCCCGGCTCTGCTGCTGGGTCCAGCTTCCTGCTGACGCTGCGAGGCCATGGTGGTGGCTCAAGTCCCCAGCCCCCTGCTATCTGGCGCAAAACCCAGATTGAGTGCCCAGCTCCTGCTTCCGCGTGGTCCTGCCCTGGCTGCCGTGAGCACCTGGGGAGTGAGCCAGCCGAGGGGAGATCTCTGTCCGTCTGCTTTTCGGATTTAAAACGAGATCAATTTATTTTGGCACAAAAATTTTGAAGTGCACGTGTGGTGTTTCCATCTTGCACGCGTCCCATGAGCTTTCCTGCGCGTGGATTCCGAAATTGTTTTGCACCATGACAAGCTTACCTTTCCGTTTCTTTTTTCCACAAACCTTTTGTAGCACGTTGTATGTCGGAATAGCTAAGACGTAGGGCTTCCGTTAGCTCTGACTCTGTTCTCAGTGCTCCATGAAGCTCTCCACACCCTCAGACGCCAGCCAATGGCAAACCCGAAGCAGCAGGGACCCCTGAGGGCCCATGCTGGTCATTACCCACCGAGTGACGTCAGCCTGGGGGATCAGGTGGCCTGAGTCAGGCGGGGGACAGCCTCAGCCCTGGGCACGGGCTGCACGTCTGCCTCAGCATCTAGGGCACTAACCACTGCTCCCTCCTCCTCTCCTAGGCATTTGCATCAAGTGTGGGCTTGGCATCTACGGAGCGAGGCAGGCGTGCCAGGCCATGGGGAGCCTGTACCACACCGACTGCTTCACCTGTGACTCCTGTGGTAGGTGGCCTCTACCCCAGGCCCTTTGCATGCCTTGTACTGCATTCCCACGCACAGGCACCAGGAGACCCCTGGGGCCTGGAGAGGGAGCTGCCGGGCCACTGCGGAGCCCTTAGCTGGCTGCCCCGGGGACCGGCTGCCTTGCTGGTCATCAGCTTGGGCACCTGCGTCCTGTCTCTGCAGGGTGCTGATGTCACTCGGCTGCTTGGGAGGGGTGGGAGCCGGTGAGGACCTTGTGCCTGGACACGCAGAGGGCTGGGACTCCTTTTTCCTGCAATTAGTCTTTTCCTCCCAATGTTAGACACAATGTAAGCTGAAAATGTGGTCATTTAACCTGGACAAAATAATAAAAAGTAAAGAAGCAGCCACGATCCCAAATCCCCCGTGGATTTCCCCACTGTTGCTGCAGGCCCGGCACCCCAGGGGCGTGTTTAGCTATCTGAGTGAAGCACTGTGACGTTCTGTGCCGTGGAAGGCACCGCTGCAGGTTTCTCTCCGATACCCGGCTCTCTAATCAGCAGATCCGCACTTCCTGCTGTGTGGGTTTCAGACATCTGCTTCCTTCTGGCCCTATGGAATCCCGTGTCTCACGTGGGCCGTGACGGCAACTTTGTAAACAGTGTTCCGCGCCGGGCCAGCAATCTGCGTCATTCCGCGTTTTCCGCAGTCTGCGGCTTTCCTTTGAGTTTCCCTCCTTGCACGCCTTGCTCTGTCGTCGTATCTTCCGGCTGCTTGCCCTCAGCTGTCCGGCTGTGTCAGGTGTTCTTCCAGGCCCCTGCGTGGGGGACAGACGATGCTGACCCTCTGCACTGCCGCGCCCACACCTGTAGTTTTGAATGTGAAAGTCTAATTTGTTCAGGTTTATGGTGAGAATACATCTCCTAGGGGAGTGCTTTGTCTTTGTCTTTTGCTTTTCTTCTTTTTTTTATTTGAAAAGCCAAAGTTAGAGAGGGAGAGAGAGAGAGAGAGAGGTCCTCCATTTGCTGGTTCATTCCCCAGATGAGTGCAACAGCCAGGGCTGGGCCAGGCTGAAGCCAGGAGCCTGGAACTCCATCCAGGTCTCCCATGTGGGTGCAGGGGCCCAAACACTTGGGCCATCTTCCACTGCTTTCCCAGGCGCATTAGCAGGGAGCTGGATGGGAAATGGAGCAGCCAGGACTCAAAGTGGTACTCATATGGGATGCCAGTGTCACAAGCAGAGACTTAACCCCCTGTACCACCGTGCCAGCCCCTTTCTCCGCCAACCCTTTCCACAGTCAAAGAGAGGGAGGGGCCGGTGCTGTGGCTTAGTGGGTAAAGCTCCAGTGCAGTTGAGCCCCGGCTTCTCCTCTCCCGATCCAGCTCTCTGCTGTGGCCTGGAAAGCACTAGAAGATGGCCCAAGTCTTGGGCCCCTGCACCCATGTGGGAGACCCGGAAGAAGCTCCTGGCTTTGGATCAGTCCAGCTCCAGCCATTGCGGCCATCTGGGGAGTGAACCAGCAGATGGAAGACTTATCTCTCTCTCTCTGCTTCTGCCTCTCTGTAACTCTACCTTTCAAATAGATAAATAAATCTTAAAAAAAAAAAAAAAAAAGAGGGTGGGAGAGACAAGGAATACTTTAAAAATTTTAAAGAAAGTTTTAAGTTTCTCTTAATAACAGTTAAATTGTGATAATTACATATTGTATACATGTACTGGGTTATAATATTGTAGCTCCCCCGCTAAAAATACTGTAGCCCATCAGTAAGTTCAAAAATCAAAATAAAAAAATTAAATTGAGGCAATTCAGACGCTGAATGGGATCCGATATCTGTGTTCTGCGGGCGCTCCTACACGCTCGGGGCCTTGTGTCCCTGCCGCGTGTGTGGTCATTGGTGTTCTGTGTGCTGCACACCGTGTCCCAGTTTTGTCCAGGTCAGGTCTGTGGTCATTGGTGTTCTGTGTGCTGCACACCGTGTCCCAGTTTTGTCCAGGTCAGGTCCCCTCAAGTTGACTCCTGTGCCCTTCTGGTTTGCCCCCTTCAGTCTTTGAGTGCTTCTGTATTCTCGGCACAAGATGTTCCTGTTCCTGATCTGTTTTCTTTCCTTCTTTTTAAAAGACTTACTTAAACTCTATCTATGTATGTATCTATCTAATCTAAGTGACAGAGAGAGAGAGAGAACTTCCATCCACTGGTTCACTCCCTAAATGGCTGTGACAGCCAGGGCTGGCCCAGGCTCCATCCAGGTCTCCCATGTGGGTGGCAGGCACCCAGGCGCTTGGACCATCTTTTGCTGCTTTCCCAGGCGCATTAGCAGGGAGCCAGCACTTGAACCAGCAGTGCAGTATGGGATCCTGGCATCGCAAATGGTGGCTTAGCCCACTCCATGGTGCTGGCGCCTCCAGTTGCTCTTTGTCTTTAAACACTCAGGTGACACCCACCTTGCCCCCGTAAGTGGACCCCCGCCATGGCTGCCCAGCTTGCGAAGTGACTTCTCACCCTGCAGGGTCGAGTTGCCGGTTCGGGAACTTGATCTGGACGTGTTCCCTAGTCTGCTCCTTGGGGCTGGTCGGCTCTGCCCCGCGCTGCTGCAGGTGTCGGCAGCTCCCCCTCGATACTGCTGACTAGAGATGCATCCGGAGAACGGGCCGTCGTCGGGCGTGGATACTCAGATCCCAGATGGGGCTGTGAGCTTTCTTGTGGAGCTCCTCTTTGGACGCGTGTTTTCATTTCTCTTGGGTAAAGCCCGAGGAGTGGAATTTCTGGGTCAGAGGGCGAATGTATGTTTTTTTACTTTCCCGATGGGAGCGAGCGGGAGTTGAGTTGTCCCACATATTTCCCAACGATCAGTATTTCAGTCTTTTTAATTTTAGCCATTCTAATGGGTAGAAGGGGGATTGTGGTTCTAATTTGCATTTCCCTGGTGACTTGCGAGGCTAAGTGTTTCTGTTTACTTCCTGACCAGGCCTCACACATCTTCCTCTGTGAAGTCAGATGGAGGCTTTTGCCCATTTTTTTTTTTAATTGGGGTTATTTGTCTTTCAGTTACTGAGGCGGAGGAACTTACACACACCCCTATGTCCATGCATAATTTTTCATAATTGTCATTTTCCACAAACTTTTTGAAGTTCTCTTGTATATTCTGAGTACAAATTGTCTGTCAAATGTATGTTTTGTGAATATTTTTCCCTAGTCTGATTTTAAAAAGTGTTTCTAAAGGTGAGAAATATAATTTCTTCCTTTTTTTGTTTAAAGATTTATTTAATTATTTGGAAGAGTTACAGAGAGGGAGAGGCAGAGACAGAGAGGTCTTCCATCCATTGGTCCACTCCCTGAATGGCCGCAATGGCCAGGACTGGGCAAGGCCAAAACCAGGAGCCAGGAGCTTCTTCCAGGTCTCCCACGTGGGTGCAGGGGCCCAAGCACTTGAGCCATCTTCCTCTGCTTTCCCAAGCATATTAGCAGGGAGCTAGATGGGAAGTGGAGCAGCCAGGACTCGAACCGGCGTCCATAGGGGATGCTGGCACTGCAGGCAGTGGCTTTACCCACTACACCACAGTGCTAGCCCCAATTTCTTTTTTTAAGATTATTTTTATTTGATTTTAAAGACAGAGTTGCAGAGAGAGAGAAAGAGATCTTCCGTTCGCTGGGGCTGGGCCAGGCTGGCTGAAATCAGGAGGTTTTTCCGGGTCTCCTACCTGGGTGCAGGGGCCCAAGCACATGGGCCATATTCTGCTGCTTTCCCAGGCGCATTAGCAGGGAGCTGAATTGGAGGTGGAGCAGCCGGGACTGGAACTGGCGCTGAGTCACGATGCCGGCCCCTCCGTGTCCATCTGGAAGGCAGCTCCTCCTAGATGCGCTTCCTGCCATGGTTCTCCCTTGTGTTCTCTCATGGGTCGTTGCATTGTTTCTTTGAAATGTTTATTATTATAAACACATTGCATCACGCAGTTTCTCTGCCGGGGAGCGGGGAGCGTGCGGAGAGAAGGGAGCCGGGCTTCTCCCCTGGCTGCAGCTCCAGGCCCCCTCTGACCCCGTCCCTGCAGGGCGCCGGCTCCGCGGGAAGGCCTTCTACAGCGTGGGCGAGAAGGTGTACTGCCAGGAGGACTTCCTGGTGAGTCCGCGCCCTGCCCGCGGGAGCAGGCCGGGGGCAGGTGCTGGCCGGGCAGCGAGAGCCCCCTGGTCACACGCCACCCCGGCTCCTGTGTCCCTCCCAGTACTCCGGGTTCCAGCAAACGGCTGACAAGTGCAGCGTGTGTGGACACCTCATCATGGAGATGGTGAGACCCTCCCCGGCCTCCCAGAGCCCCTGGGCCGCGGGCAGAGCTGGGGAGCTGAGCGGAGCCTGCCTCCCAGGCTGACCTGGCAGCGCCTCCACCCCCAGATCCTGCAGGCCCTGGGCAAGTCCTACCACCCGGGCTGCTTCCGGTGCTCCGTGTGCAACGAGTGCCTGGACGGGGTGCCCTTCACGGTGGACGCGGAGAGCAACATCTACTGCGTCAGGGACTACCACACGTGAGTCGCGGGCACCACGGCCCTGCTGTCCGTCCTGGCCTCTTCCCTCCTGCCTCCCCTGGGCACTGTGCTCGGGGCGGGGCCCAGAGCCCCTGTCTCAGGTGCTTCAGCGCCAGCCTCCTTGAGGTGGGGGCCTCCTGCCTGCCCTGCCCTGCCCTGCCCGCTCCCAGGGCCGGGCCGGGCCTCTTCTGCCTGGAGGAGGGGGTGGGGGCGATGCCTCTGCAGACCCTTTCTCTTGCCTGTCTGCTGCCCAGCTAGGCAGCTGACCCACCTCCCTGGCCGTGGCTCCGGGCTCTGATCCTGGGATGCTGTCTGGTAAAGGGTTAGAGTCAGGCACACAGCCTGGTAGTCAGGGTGGAGGCAGGTCTGGCAGGCATCGGGGGCAAGGATCACGTGGGAAGCATGAGGGAGACAGGTGGCCATCCTGGAGGAGGTGAGGGGCCCAGGTCGACAGGGAGCCAGGGGGAAGGCCAGCACCAAGAAGGCCTGGTGGAAATGGCACCTGCCCACCCACACCGGGAGAGTGGGCCTGATGCTCGGCCCTTGTCCCGGGACCACTGTGGGAGGACCTGTCCCTGTGCCCTCTGTCTCTGGTCGCTCAGCCAGTCACTGCTGGTTTCCTTTTTCTTCCAGGGTTTTCGCACCAAAATGTGCCTCCTGTGCCCGTCCTATCCTCCCTGCACAGGTAGGAAGCAGTCGCCGGCCCCAGGTTTTGGGCCACGATGGGAGGGAAGAGCGGCCGCTGTGGCTCTTTAACCTTCAGAGGCATGGGGCGTCCGTTGGGCCCATGCCCGTGGGGGCAGGTGCCCCTGGCATGAGTCAGCAGGACATGGTGGCCTCTGTCACCCAGCACTCCGCCTACCGCCCTCAGCCCCATGCTCCACCACTGGGCTGATCGCTGGGTCTGCTCAACTGTGCAGGCCGAGGGTGGGGGGCTGCAGATGAGCACGGGGCCGCCTGGGGCTCTGGGTCTCCCCACACATGCTGGTTGTGTCCAGGGAAGCAGGCGTGGACGTAACACGCAGACGCCCACCAGCTCTCACATGGTGCTGTCGGCTGTGACCAGGGAAGGTGCCCCAGGGGCAGGTGCACGCATGGTGTGCGCCTACCAATGCCCGGTCCAGGCCCATGTCAGGGCTCACCTGAGCGTGAATGCCCAGCTGCCGTGCTGGGACCCCGTTGTGCAGCCGTGTGCTCGCACACGCCGCTCACCCCGAGTCCTGCGTGCCTGTTGTGTGTGAACCCGTGTGTCCCCACAGGGCTGTGAGACGACCATCCGTGTGGTGTCCATGGACAGGGACTACCATGTGGAGTGTTACCACTGTGAGGTAAGCCTGATGGCCCTGCCCGGCCTCCTCCCTCCGTGGCCCGGGGCTGCCGCCCTCCGCCCCAATCCTCCTGCTCCATGGCATCACCTCCGTCCTGCCTTTCCTTTCCTTTCCCAGCGGGCCCTGTCCCTTCTGCCCAGAGTGTGTCCTCTCAGCCCCTGTTTCCTACTCACTGACTGCCCCGTGTGTGAGGCACCGGGACACGCAGAGAACAGACAGGCCCCGTAGTCAGGGAAAGCCATGTCCACACGGTGCTGCGTGCTGTTACGGAGGGCTGATGGAGCACAGGGGGCCTTGGAAAAGCAAGGATGGCTTTCTGGAGGAGGTGACTGACTCAAGCTGAGACTGACGGCTGAATAGGAGGTAGCTGGGGAGGCGGTGAGAAGGGCCTGACTTGGCGGTGGAAGCAGCAGGTCCTGGGGAGGTGTGGTGTCCTGTTGCTGGAGGGGCGTGTAGGAGCTGAGTGGGACTTTGCCCCGGGGGCAGGGGAGCACCGTCAGAAAACACCGCAGGATTGCATGTGGATCTCAGAAAAAGGTTCTTACTCCCTGCAGGCACTGAGTCGGAGGAGAGGGCACTGCCGGGGGGGGGGGGGGGGGGGGGGGGCGTGGTTCTGGGTCAGGGGAGGGGTTGGACAGGATCTGGTGAGTGGACGTGGGAGGTGGGGGCTAGGGGTGCCCGTGGGGGGGGTGAGGGGGAGCGGAGGAGGTGCTCGAAGCTGCAGACATCCCAGTTGGGAGGTCTGGGGCTCAGAGACTCCGCTGATGGATGCGGGAGCTTGGGGGTCGTGGGCAGGTGGGCCCCTCCCCACTGGCACTGACCCCCAGCTCTCGGCAGTCCGGGAAATCCCCGCAGGCGGCAGGTCAGGGCAGCTGCACGGCTCCTCTCATTGGCTACCTTCTCTTAAAGATGTTGTTTTAAAGATTTAGTTATTTAATGTGTTTGAAAGGGAAAACAATAGATCAGTCTTCCATCTGTTGTTTCACTCCCCAAATGGCTGCAACGGCTGGGGCTGGCCCAGAGAGAAGCCAGGAGCCTGGAACTTCATCCGGGTCTCCCAGTGGGTCATCCTCCACTGCTTTCCCGGGCCATAGCAGGGAGCCGGAGCAGAAGTGGAGCAGTGGGATTTGAGCTGGGGCTCGGATCCGGGATGCCGGCGTCCCAGCCGTGGCCCACCGTGTTGTGCTGTGAGGCTGACCCCACTCTGAGATGACCAGCCTGCCTCGCTTCCATTGAGCGGCTGAGAGTCACGCGGCTGGCTGTGTTCTCATCGCGGAAGGCGGGAGGTGACGTCCAGCTCCTGCGGCTCCTTCATGGCAGGGTGCAGCTGGGGGCGGGGGTCTTCCAGAGAGGGCACGCAGGGGCAGAGGGCCCGGGGTGCCCTGACAACACGGATATTTAGGGGACGGCTGGAGGCGAGGCGGCCACGGAGAGGAGGACAGGCGAGAGCTCACCAAGCCCAGGAGGGAGAGAACCGACGAGGATGCCGGGTGGGGGCAGAGGAGGAGGGTGGGGAACAGCGGGGCTCCAGTCCCCCCCGACCCCGTGCAGTCACGGCCTCTGCGCCTCTGCCCATGCAGCTGTCCTGTGCACTGCCCTGTCCCCTCGGGGTGGCCAGGCACACTCCTTTCAAGAGGTTGATGCTGAGGGCCTGGGAGCAGCCGGCTGCTGGTGGTGCTGGCGCCCCCCGGGGACCCCTGCGTGGGAGCTGGGGTCTGCAGGCCGCTTTGCCCTCTCTGTCCCGTGGTCACAGTTTGCAGTCAGGAGAGCCTGGTGGACACTTGATGGGCACCCCCTGGAGGACCCTCCTTTGGGGTGCTCCTCCCCTTCGTCTGCTGCTGCTCCAGGGCTCAGCCGGTGGTCCTTCCCTGCTGAGTTGGGGGAACGCCCTGCTTCAGTTAAGGACCTCGGCGTGGCGGCCTCTTGTCCACTTTCCCTGCCCGGCGCCGCCCGCAGATGCCTGCCGGTGTGCACTCTGTCCAGCCGGGCGTGTGCCCCAGGGCCCTGAGCCTCCCTCGGAGGCGTGGCCGGGGGTGGTGACAGCCGCAGTCCTCACTGTCTCCGGGGACTGTGACTGCCCAGCCCTGCGCCCACGAGCCCTCGTCCGCTCCCTCCTCACTCGGGGCCCCGGGTTGTGCTCTTCCTAGGACTGCGGGCTGCAGCTGAGCGGGGAGGACGGACGCCGCTGCTACCCCCTGGAGGGCCACCTGCTGTGCCGCCGCTGCCACCTGCGGCGCCTCCGGCCGGGCCCGCTACCCTCGCCCGCAGTGCACGTCACAGAGCTCTGAGCAGGGCTGTGGAGGAAGGGCTGGCCGAGGGCCCAGGTCCCTGTCATGGCGGGCCTGGCCGCCTCCACCCCACACTGCCCCCACACCCCCAGCTGCTGTCCTGTCCGCGGGGGCCGGCCCCCCGCGGTGAAGCTACTTCTATTTATTCACCGTTTGTGCCTCCTCCAGTTGCTTTCCTCTGGGACCTGCTGTCTCCCCCCGCCCCCATGGCCGGCTCTCCTGAGACCCCCGCATGCCCCCTGCAGACATGGGTGACGGGCAGCGGCCTCAGCCCAGCCCCCGTGGCCTCCCTGTTCAGAGGGAGCCTGGGGCCCTGGATGGATGGCCCTGCATTTCTGGGGTGTCTCTGAAAGCAGGGGGCGGTGGGCGGCACGTGTGTGTGCGCATGTGTGCATGTCGGCTGGCCGTGGGTGCCTTGTTTGGTACTGGGGGCCCGGCCTGTGGGCGCTGTGGGATTCAGCCTTGTCAGCCACAGTTCCCACCCCGCTGCTCACTCCCCTGGCCCCGACTGGGGGGCTGTGCCCCCCCAACGCCTGGCCAAGACGCACCTGCCCCGCAGAGTCCCCGCCGGCCCCGGGTCTGGGTCCGGAGGGAGCTCGAGGCCGGGAAAGCCCCCGGCCGTGTGCACTGGGTCCTGGGCGCCACAACAAAAGGATAGGATCTGACTTGAATTAAGTTCTCATGTGAGGAGATTTTCATTTTCTTAAAAAGAATACAGTTTTCTTCTAAGAACTTGGGCCAAGGTTGTTGTTCCTGAAGAAAGCCACGTGCACTCATGAGCGTCCGACTTGTGGGGCCCGTGGCCGACGTGCAGACGGCAAGAACGCCGCGCTCGGTATTTTTGTATAAATGCCTCCAAAATCCCGGTGTGTGTCTGCCTCTCAGACTCCAGGCTGCGTGTGTCTGCGCGCGTCACCGCCTCACAGCCATGGCAAATACAGCGCCACTGGGTGCGGGCCCCAAGGGACTTGGCTTGTGGGCGGGCCCTGGCCGGGAGGAGCCCTCAGCGTGGTTTTCACGGGAAATTGTGCCCGAAGTCTGCCCTGCCCCCTGTTGGTTACGGCTCTTGCCCACCCCTGCCCCCCGCCGAGGCTGATCTCCAGGGGTGCGCAGACACAAGAAGTTCTTCCCTTGAGCAGAAGCTGGGTCCTGTCCAGGAGGCCCTTGGTGGGGGGGACTGAGCGTGCGTGCAGGAGTGGGGGTAGCGCAGCTCTGGAGGACTGGCCCCCATGCTGTGTGGCCATGGGATCCGTGTCCGCCTTGGGAGGGGAGCGTGTGTGCACACTTGCCCTGGGGGACCGTGCAGACCACAGGGAGCAGGCCTGGGGGGACTCCACGATGGGAGAGTGTGACCTGCTGTGGGGTCGGGGGGAAGCTCACCAAGTCCCTGGTTTCCGGAGAGACCCCAGGGAGTGTCTGGGGCCCTGGGGCCCGGCTGCTCTCCTTCCATCCATGTGGGCTGCCCTCCAGAAGCCTGGGGGTGGTCACAGTGGGCTTCTGCAGCCCTGCGAAGAGGCTGGCCCTAGGGGACAGGGGTCCCCCTGCGCCTCCCGGGGCTGCAGCGCCAGGTCCTGGCACAGCTGGTGTGCGGGGGGAAGTGCTCAGCAGGGCTGTGTGCCTGGCGCATGCTCACCTGTCCCCCAGCCAATCGCCCCCACCCCGACGCCCCACCCAGTGTGTTCTCCATCTGCTGTGCAGATGTCCCTGCCCGGCCTGCTGCAGACTCGGCTGGCTCACAGGGCAGCCCGGGAGGCGGGCGGGGTCAAAGGACCCTTGGGCTGCTCCCACCTGAGAGCGCTTTGGGGAGAGGAGCGGGCCCAGCCCTGTGGCTTTGGGAGGATGGCGGTCACTGGTGGGAAGACGTGGGATTGCACCTTCCTCTCCGTGGGGACAGGGTCTGTGACTGCAGTGGCCACAGCTGGCCCAGCCCCCTGCCCAGCATCTGGCTCCGAAGGAGCAGGTGAGTGCTGGTGAGATGACGCGGTCATAGCGGTCACTGGCCAGTGTGGATACACCGCTCAGGCAGGGTGAGCCCCTGCCCCGCCTTTGGAGAATGAGTACGGTGTGTGGTGCCTCTGTGTCCAGCTGGCGTGGGCCCTGCGTGGGACGGCGGGGCGTGTTGCAGAGGGGGACACGGGATCGACACAGGGGCCGCAGTGTGAGGTCCCCGCAGCGGGGCGAGCAGGCCAGCCTGCCTCTGAGTCGGGCCGCTGCTCGAGCTGCAGGCCCTCTCTGCCCAGGGCCCCAGGGCACGTCCACGTTGGGCGGGTGCCCAGGGCCTGGTCTTCAGCCTGCGGAAAAGTGGCCTCACTCCTTGCACCTCCTCAGGCATGAGCTCGTTGGCCACGGTTGGCCTGGGCCTCCCTGCCGCCGGCACAGGGGGAGGCTCCCGCGTCACTACCCCTCCCCACACGCTGCACTCCGGAGCCGAACTCCCCCTCCCCGGCCCGTGGAGCCACCGTCTGCTTTTTCTTTTCCAATTTTACATTCACGAATGTCTATACAAGCGCCTCAGAAACCCTGTGGGAAAAAGGCGAAGTAAAAAGACATTTATTTTGATGCAAAAAAATTTGAAATCACGTAGTTTTTCATAGCACATGTTTTTTCCACGAGCTTTTTTTTTTTTTTTTTTTTTGACAGGACAGGCAGAGTGGACAGTGAGAGAGAGAGACAGAGAGAAAGGTCTTCCTTATGGCCGCCGCTGCAGCCGGCGCACCGCGCTGATCCGATGGCAGCGCGCTGATCCGGTGCTTTTCCTGGTCTCCCATGGGGTGCAGGGCCCAAGCACCTGGGCCATCCTCCACTGCACTCCCTGGCCATAGCAGAGAGCTGGCCTGGAAGAGGGGCAACCGGGACAGAATCCGGCGCCCCGACCGGGACTAGAACCCGGTGTGCCGGCGCCGCAAGGTGGAGGATTAGCCTATTGAGCCACGGCGCCGGCTTCCACAAGCTTTTTGAAAACCGGGTATATGCATGGATTTCAAAAACTTGTCTTTTAATTCCACTTTTTATTGTGAAAAGTATTTTAAGACAAATAGAAAACTGAGCAAGTTTCACTTAGCAAAGTACACCCCAAAGGAAGTCACAGTACAAAGAACGTTCTAAGTCAGGCCTCACCAATCCCCACAGTATTAGCATCGTGCCACAACTCTCAAAACGGACTTTTCGAAAGCTGGACTTAACCTAAAAGATTTCAGGGGCCGGCGCTGTGGCATAGTGGGTTAAGCTGCCGCCTGCCATGCTGGCGTCCCTTATGGGCGCTGGTTCGAGTCCCAGGTGCTCCACTTCCGATCCAGCTCTCTGCTGTGGCCTGGGAAAGCAGTAGAAGATGGCCCAAGTCCTTGGGCCCCTGCACCCACGTGGGAGACCCGGAAGAAGCTCCTGGCTCCTGGCTTCAGATCGGCGCAGCTCTGGCTGTTGTGGCCAATTGGGGAGCGAACCAGCGGATGGAAGATGTCCCCCTCTCTGCCTCTCCTTCTCTCTCTCTATAACTCTGCCTTTCAAATAAATAAATCTTCAAAAAAATAAAATAAAAACCCTAAGATTTTAAATGAAAATAGAAACTAGAATGAACAAACACGAGAGATGTCTCTCTGAACTGGGAGATCCAGCACTTTGAGTTTCCCAGAAAAGTCTCCCTAAGGCGTGCGTGTGCCGTGGTGTGGCGGGGGACCTCTACATGTTACTTGGGAAAGGCGGGAAATAAGTTTACTCAGAAAAGTCTGCATAAGAAAACTCTTTAAAGAGGTCATTCTTCAATCCGGATTTCACAAACTTCTGGTGCAGAAGGGTCCCACCAGCTTCCTCTAGGGCAGTAACTGCTCTCCCCGGCTCGCTGGCTGCCCTGTGGAAATTTGAAATAACGCGAATGCTTTTACAACACTGGTCATGCCCGCCCTGCTGTTCTGACCGCCGTCACCAGCGCCGTGACAGCCACTCAGCGACCAGCTCTCCCGCCGCCACGGGTGCCTGGCCTGCCTCCCCTGGCTGCCCTCGGCTGTGGGTTCAGGAAGGGTTCTGTGTGTGCGTGCTGCCCGCTGGCACCACAGTGCTGCACACTGCCGCCACAGCGCCCTCGTGGGCGGCCAGCTCCACCGTCCCTCTCCCATCCGGGCCGGCTCAGTGTGCACTCTCGGTGGGTTAAGTGCAGAGTCGTGGGTGTCGCTCTCGGTCGCTGTGTGTGGCAGCCCTCTCGCGTGGACGCCGTGGCCGGGGGTACTCTGCACCGCGACCCCACTGTCTGTGTCTGTGGTCGTACATTCCTGAGTGGTGAAGCCGTAGCGACAGCTGCAGCCGCATGGCACCAGTTTCCCTCCGGGCGTGCCAGGCCGGCCGCTGAACAGACCTGAGCTTCCGGGAGGATCTGACGGGGACCTCGCTCCCGCCTGACTGCGCTGGTGCACCCCAGCGCGTCTGCGCCCTGCTCTCTCCCTGGGCTTCCCCAGCGCCCTCTCTGCCAGCTCCTGAGAGGCAAACCGCGCCAGGCCTCCCCTTGACCTCGCCCTGGGGAGCCACAGGCATCGTGATCCCGTTTGGCAGCATTTCCGACTGCGAGAAAACCGATTTCTTCCTTTGTGCATGGAACGCGAGTCCCCGAAGCCGCAGGAAGCATCATGAGTGGTGTCGGCGCTGTTTGGACCGCGGTGCCTCACCCAGTCCACCTCGGCTCTGAGCCTGGGACACCTCAGTGAACCCGTGCCCCGTGCTCGCCCTGTCTCTTCAGGGCCGGTTTTACCTCATCTTCTGATTCAAGTTCAACAGACACCTCTGCACTCTGCCCGGCATCTCTAGTGCTGACAAAACCGACACCCGCGAGCGCACACACACTGTGCAGCCAGGCGTGCTCTGCGATAGGGCAGGACCAGGGCAGGCCACAGAGCCGTAATTCCACTTTCTGTGAACCTGACCGAGACAGAGCGGACTTCCACCCACTGGTCCCCCCCCCCTTTATTTTTTAGAGAGATTTATTTATTTATTTGAAAGGCAGAGTTACAGAGAAGCAGAGAGAGAGAGAGATCTTCCATCCGGTGGTTCACTTCCCTAAACGGCTGCAATGGCCAGAGCTACGAAGCCAGGAGCAGGTGCAGGGGCCCAAGAACTTGGGCCATCTTCCACAGCTTTCCCAGGCCATAGCAGAGAGCTGGATCGGAAGTGGAGCAGCCGGGTCTCGAACTGGTGCCCATATGGGATGCCAGCACTGCAGGCAGCCACTTTACCTGTTACGCCACAGCGGGGTCCCTGGTTCACTTTCCAAATGACTGCAACAGCTGGGGCTAGGCCAGACTGAAGCCAAGAGCCAGGAGCCCCACCCAAGACTCCCACACAGGTGGCCTCCCAGGCTGTGTGTTAGCAGGAAGCTGGGTGGGAGGTGGAGGTGGGTGTCCCGAGCAGCTTAAACCCACTAGGCCACAGAACCTGCCCCTCCAGGTATTCTCACCACGTGTACACATGTAACTCAATTTTTCCCTAGAACTTTTGACGTATGTTTGTACATATTGGTGCAGCCAGCTTAGGCAATCCCGTGTGCTTCCTTGTTCTTTCTGGCCCGGAGAGTTCGCATTCTTTTGCCAAGACGCCGGCAGTGGGGCTGCAGGTCTGGGTTCAGGGTCTCGTCGTTGAGCTCCTGTGCAGATGCAGATGAGGCTTGTGGGATGCAGGACACCTGGAACTGAAGGGACACGGCCTCTGCCTTTTTTTCTTTTAAGATTTATTTATTTATTTATTATTATTATTTTTACAGGCAGAGTGGACAGTGAGAGAGAGAGACAGAGAGAAAGGTCTTCCTTTGCCGTTGGTTCACCCTCCAATGGCCACTGCGGCTGGCGCGCTGCGGTCGGCACACCACGCTGATCCGAAGCCAGGA